AGAAATTTAATGGAAAAGGCATAAAATTTAGACCAGTACAGTTACAATTGGCAAAAATCACAGTTTTAGAAGTTTCGGAAAAAAATCTCGACGATTTCATAATTAAAACGATTTCATAATTACAAATTAAATATTCCAAATTCTGCCTTTATGACTTCGAAACATGAAGTGTTAGAAGAATTGAAGCAAAGAATTCAAAGGATTGAATTTAAAAGCAGTTTACCATGGAATTTTCTCAATCCTCTATTGCAAGATTTGAAACAAAAATTCTTAATCACCAGGCCCGCCAGCAGCAAGCGTTAAAGACGCTGAACACTGGTAGTTCGGTCCGAGGTTTGAATCCTGTGAACGGGCTGGTTGCATAGGCGTTTTAATGGTTTTTCCCATGTGTAATGTGTATACAAGCCAGTTTTCCTTAGAAAGTTCTCCAAAAGGCAACCATCCCTGTAGGCAGATAGCCCTCGTGTGCTTTGTCATAATTAAATAATCCAATCCAATCTTAATCACTAAATTGACAAAGCCAGTAATAATTTCAGCATTATTTGAAAATTTTTTTATATCTCCCTAATTAATACTGAACTGAATAATGCCATTACTTACAAACTTACTAATACACAAGAAAATGTCATTGCAAAAAAGCTAAAAGCAATTCATAAGAAACTACAAATTTTACAACCACCTAACTACAATAGATTAGCAAATCTATATGCTCTTACTAAGTTCCATAAATCACCACTCAAATTTAGATTTATAGCAATGGTACAAATAATTAAAAAGATATAAATTACATATTGCAATTAAACTTTAAAAATCTGTATTTAATTCATCAACTAGTTAACAAGCAAACACAGCTATAGTTGGGTTATTTATAATAACGCTCCAGTTCTCAACAAATTTAAAAGTTTAGAAAGTCAGAAACATTAACTGCTATGACTTTGAAAACTTTTATACTTCTCTATACCATTGTACTATAATTTTTATACTAGTTTAATACAACTCCCACAACGTTTACCTGGCATGCTAAGCATCTTCTGAATTGAAAGATGGAAAACGTACCTCCAGTGTGCATTAAATAATAACTACATTAAATTCAATAATAAGATCTTTCAGCAGGTAAAATAAATTCTAGTGGGAGCGAAAAGTTCTACACAAATATGTAACCTATTTCGTTTTGCTAATGAATATAATGAATATAATATTAATAAACTAAGTTTGAATAAGAATGAATTAAAGTTATTTGCAAATACGATTCAGATATGTTGATGTTATAATTTTCAATCATAATTCTGCTTTTGAACAATTTAAAATTTACCCAAATGGTTTAACACATAATAAAACTAATACAAATCAAGATGCTATTGAATACCTAGACCTGCTCATAATTAAACAGAGCAAATTTGAATTATATGATAAAAGGAGGAATTTCCATTTTAATACCATTAAACTAATAAATTTGTACTCTAATATCTCTAGAAAAGTAATAGGTAACACTTTTTACAGCCAAATAATCAGAATAAAAATATATGTACTGAAATAGAAGATTTAAAGGAAGAAATATTAAAGTTAATTAATGTTTAAGTTAATAACGAAGTCCCAACACAATTTATTAATTTATATATCAAAAGGCCTGCATTAACTTTAATTTTTTTGACTCTTTATGGTATGGTAACATTACCTTAAACCTTAACTATAGGGTAATGAAGGATTTTCTAGTAAATGTTAATTAATTTGTAAAAATGTGTATTTAATCAATACTGGATTCTTTCCTTTTACTAATGAAGGGCCAACTCTTTTCAAAAGTCTCAATTATAGCCTGAATTGAGTGAAGATTTTTATCTTTTTACTTCTGGCCAGTATTTAGTAAAGTTTTGATTAAACTTGTTGAAATTCAGTTTTAATAAATTAAGACTATTGCAAAATATTTAAAAAAAAATTATCAAACTTAAAATTAAATTTAATTTTTTCTTCAAAAAACCTTTTTCGTACTTTGTTTCGAAAATATTTTAGTTTTTTTACAATCCTTAATAGTTTGCAACTCTATTTTCACATAACCGTAACAGTTAGCAAATTTTTTTCCAATATTTTACACATTTTTACAATACTTCATTGTTAACAACATTTTTGCACACAGAACACACATTTTACTTTACTTAAGAGTTTTAAGAATAGGTTTTTTACAATAGATCTAACAGGTAGCAGCTTAACACTCAACTTTATCTTATATTAGCATCCTCTATTATAAAGTTAGCAGAAACACACTACTCAAAATCACTTAGTTTGGCAAATGCTGCTCCACTCTCCAAATACAAATATTGTTTGGTAAGTTAAATTAAAACATACTATTTACTTGCCTTTTTAGTATTATTTATGTATTTTTATAGATTGTATATAGTTTATCTTTGATTTACATGCCTAATTTGTGTCGGGTAAGTTTCCAAATAGGCAAAGGTTTCTAAATTACTTTAATTTTCTACTCTTTTTACAATGGCAATTTTGTTTTAATTATTTTGATTCTTTGTCAATTTGTTTTCTAAATTTCTCAAAATTCCTTTAAAAAATTTTTTTTTAGTAATTCACTATTTTTTATTTATCTTTCTTTTTAAATTACTATACACAAGCCTATATGGATGACGAAACACAAATTGAATAATTGAAGAGTTAGGTTTGGAGGCAACTTGCCCTTGATAAGATCTGTCTCCTGCCTGCTCAACAATTATTCACTATTCAAATTAATTTAGTCTTAGAAATTTTTTATAAAATTTTTTAAGATTAAAAAATTTTAGAATTGATATATTTATTCATGGATTTTGATGCTTGCACGTAATTTACATATGCTCTTAGAATTTAAATGATATTGTAGATTAGTTTGCAGCAATAATTAATAATTGTTTGCAATTAAAATTTCATAATTTAAAATTTAAATTTTAGTTTAAATTTGCTTTTTACGAATAGAAAGTGTTTGTTAAATTCAAATATATATATATATATATTATATATATATATATATATATATATAATTTTATTTCCTAAACAATATTGATTAATTGATTATATTATCTCCTAAGTTTAATTAAGTAGAATTATTTTAAAAGAGTAAATCCATACTGGTAAGTTATATTTTGAAAGATGTTTTCAAGTAAATTTAAAGCAAAAATGTTAATAATGTTTTAACAGGGACTGGAGTTAAATCATCATGAAGAATAAAATTTCAATTGTAAAAGGAAAAAATTTAAAACATGTATCATTGTCATTGATTGGAAATTAGTTGACTTTTCAAGGGGAACAAACCAACTCCCATTCAATGAACAAATAATTGATAAAAATACGTAAAATACAAAGGTGTTTCGTCTTTATCGAGTTATAAGTTAAAGTCAAACCGGCAATTCTAGTCAGGCCAAATATTTCCGCGAATAGAAGGGATTATGAACCAATGCTGATACTCAAAAAACTTATTCTTATGAAGCATTTTAGTCAATTCAATTTGGAGTAAAAAGCAATTTCTGTAGAGGAATCCGAAATAACCCGAGTAACCGTCCCCGACACCTTCATGTTTATGCATTTGAGTTCTATATTATTTGTAAAAATTAAACATTGGAAATTGTCATTATGAAATCAAATTCAAAGTAAAGTTGAAATAAACATAGAAGATTTTGTTTTCGCACTAAATGAATTTAAGATCATGCAACATATATATATATATATATACATCCTCTTCTGTATATCACTGATGATTTGGAATCAATTGCACAAACAGTTTAGATAAGAAATTCTACATTTCTCTTCCTTTTGTAAAGGAAAGCCTCTCTTTCTGGATAAATCTAGCTACCTAAAAGTGCCATTGGACTTCTTAACAGGACTTCTCCTGTCTTTTCAAAATTCTTACAGTATGAAATCCCCAACTTCAGTAGGTTATTTTTGATCTTCTAACACACAAGTACAGAATTTATTTTCTAGTTTTCTATTTTTGTATTCTAGAAAATAAATTGTCATCTACAGTCAAAAGTCGTTAATCTGGACTCGTCGGGACTTCGACGATTCCGGATTATCGATTTTTCCGGATTATAGATCATCAGTTTAAGTCTCGCAAGATGGCATGCAGAAATTTTAAAGTTAAAAATATGAAACCGTAATTTATGAAATAAAGAACAATTATGATTTAAAGGGTATCAAAATTTACAAAAAAAATAAAAAGCTTAATATTTATTTGTTTACTTTATTAAACATTTCTTTCAATGTAAGTTGTTTAAGTTGCTTCGTTTTATGTGATAATACTTTCTCTTTAATTCTATAAACAGACATAATTTCTTGTTCAGTTACAAAGTTCCGCTGTTCAAGTCCCGTTAATTGCTGTGCCGAGAATACTCACTAACTGTCAATCGAAATTTTTTCGTTTCACTAACCTCTCTGTCACATTCTTTCATGTCTTTATCCATTTTTTCCAAGCAATTCCACTTTTTGTTTGATGGACACCGAAACATACTTTCGTTTTGTACGATCCTTTGGGAGTTTCCAGATCGGAAATTTCTATTTGACATAATCGAAAGTTCAAGTTTACTTTTATAAAATTGCTCTTACAGTCTGACAAAAAAATAAATAAGCCGGATCCAATTCGAAGATAAGGAAAACGCAATCATAAACATTAACTGAAATAGATAATTTTAGATTATCCATAAAACGCGCACGCGAAAACGTATTCTGCACTTGCGCACATGCATATGCGCAGCGGTAAAAGGTCTTACGCGCACGCGTAAACGCCTAACCTCTTTGCGCATGTGTCAACACGGCGCATGCGCAGAAAATTTTTAGTTTTGAGGTCCGGATTATAGATCATTCCGGATTATGGGTGTCCGAATTAACGACTTTTGACTGTATAAGTTTTTTTTTTTTTTTTTTTTAAAGTAGGAAATTTCAATTATTTCAGATTAGTTGCTATTTTCTAAATTCTAATTCATTTTGGTTAAAAATATGTTAAGGCTATTTTATTTGTTATTTATAGAGAAAATAATGAAGAAATGGTGCTAAACTCTTTGGAGATTGATCCAGCTTTGGTTGATGAATTTCAAGCATTAGAACCTATTCAGATGTCTGGGAAAATTGATTCATTTTTCATAAATGTTGATGAAAATGATATTGCAAAGGTTATTTTTACTTTTTATGTATGGTGTTATATTGTTAAAAAGATTAACTTATGATGATTGTCAATAGATGTGTCATTATGCCTGTTATGGGATAGGAGTATGTTTTACGATGTAATTTTTAATATATTAATTATTTGTACTCTTATCACTTAGTTTGTTAATTTCTGTCCTATCATTACTGTTTTATATAAGATTAAAAAGATCCTTTATATTAATGGTATGATTTCATGTAAACTATGTATGTAAGTGGCAAGTATTTGGTTTTGCATTAAATGTGCACCTATAACTTCTCATTAAAAAAGGAGGGTAAAAAGAGCTTAATGAATTAATGAAAAGTACTGTTCGTCATTTATTGTACTAGGTAAGCCTAGTCTGGAAAAGTTATTGTTAAAATAAAAATTTATTTACAGGAAAGAAATGTGGTTTATAAAATCATATATAAAATGACGACTGTCATTGCAGTATCAATTTTTTTTTTACTAAAATTTTTCATTTTTTACATTATGAATATGAATAGCTAAACTAATTGCACTAATACACTACGTGGTTGAGGAAATTATTTATTTTATATTTGAATGACTATTATAAATGTATATTCACATATAATTAAAATCAAAAGTATAAAATACTTTAAGTAAATTAAAATTCACATTTTGTTCTATTTTTTAAATAATAAAATAACCTCTAGCTGCTGGTTATAGCATATAGGAATGCTAAAATTGAGGGGGGGAATGGAGGAGGATTCCGTGCATTTTAAACTTGAAAGCTTATACAAGTTAAATGTCTTAAAATTACTCTGTCAGATTTCTGTGTAATTCCCTTTTACTTCAATGAACTTAACACAGTGATGCATCAAGTGTCAGATTTCAGTAGGGGGGAGGAAAGTGTTTTTCATAGCCTACAAAACATTCCTGAATGGCATCTTTCAAATTATAATTACCACCATAATAATTTTTTAAATGAAAAAAGCCATTTGGAGATAGGTTTGGTGAATCTGATGGTTGGAATAGAAGCTGAAATCAACTTTGCTGAATTGTAGTCTGAAAAAATTGTGAATGATACATTGCATTAAAAAACACATTGTCGAGGTTCTTATATATCATTACAAATGTTTTATGCTCTCTCCTTGGGTTGCATGACAAACATCTGTGCGGTTATCAAGGTCAAATTATACATGTTCAAGCATGTTTCTTTCAGTGTTCATCAGTATAGCAGTGATGCAATCCTGGGGTTCAGTCAATGTGGTCAGCAAAAGTGGTATGTAAACATTATCTTTCACACATTTAAAAAAAAAAAAAAAAAAAAAAAAGTCATGAAACTATAAGGCCAGGAGACCTAGAGAGCCACCTGAAAAGTGCCAAGTCATCTTGAGTGCAGCTTCCTATTATTACTACTGTTATTAGCATTGATCCTTTTATTGCTAAATCCACTGGTGTGAAAGTTATTCATTCAGATGGCAGTGCATTTCTCTATGCCAGTGAGTTGGAGCTCCATCTTGCTGAAATATGAAATTTGGGATATCAACTATCAGTTTATGAAACAACCATTTTTGCAACATGTGTAGATACACCTCGAAAAAAAAAAATGGGAAAATTCTGTATCTCCCATTCTACTGGGCTGATTGATGAAATTCAAATTGCATTTTTCATGTCTCAAAAGCACGAGTTAGGATGTATATTAGACTATATATAGCATTATTCTAACATAGGTATTTTGAAACAAAATCAGATTTTTTCTGAAATGATGTGCCAATTTTTTTTTCCACGTGTCGTTTCTCATGCCAACTCAAATTATGCCTAAATAATAAATTTTGTCAAATTTAGTGTGAAATTTATGGAGAAATTCAAAAATTTATCTTGCCACATTTTTTTCTGTTTGCATCAAGAATAATTTACTTGGCAAACTTCTTAATTTATAGCAACTTATTTTCCTTTCCTTTTTTTCATTGTAGATGAGCAGAAGAAAAGTCATCGTTCATACTTTCAAATCATTTTAACAAAGTGCGTAAACCACATTTGATGTTATTGTTGCTGAGGAAAAAAAAGGAAAATTATTGCTGAGGAAAAAAAATTTTGCATATGCCTAGAAATACATTTACTTTATGATGATGTTAAAAATTTTATAATACAAAAATGTTTAAAAAAATATTTAAAAGTACAAATTTAAAAAATATCCAAATTATATTTGGACAACCTAGATTCCGAATTCTGGAAGAAGGAATCAAGTAAGTTTAATAAAAAAAAGGAGATATTAATAAGTATATATCAAACTCAATTAACATTGAGAAGCTAAAATTTTGAGAGCTTATTTTTACTTCCTTGTATGAAGTAAAAAGGAAGTATGTAATCGTTGAAGTTTCAGGCAGCATATTTTCAACGAAAATATCCATTTGAACTTTTGAATGCAAGAACGATGTATTGAGTTGAATGTATGTAAGGACAGAATAAAAGACTCTTTTCTTCAAAAAAAAATATAAAAAGCTGAAAATGAATTTGAAGAGAATTTTGTGGCATCGGTATGAACGCATTGTACATCTCGCATAAAGAAAAAAGAGTAGCCTCAGAACATTGAAATTGTATGTGACTACATACATGTGGATGTGCACTCGTTTTGGTTAATTGGCCGCGCAAAAACATATAAATATATTTATATATATCCATTCTCTTACCCGGCTCAGTTGATCTCAATTCTTACTCTTATAATGAAATTGAATTTTTTGCTTTAAAAATGATTTATTATTTGTTCTATCTCGGGGGGGTTTTAGACTTTAGTAAATCGTATGCAATCTTTAGAATTATCAACAATTTAAAGTGGTTTAAGGCGGCTAAGCCTAATAATTTTTTTTTGATGGCGCATTGCTGGTCCTTTGAAACGACAGAGTAGTGGATTGTTGCGAATCTAGAGAAACGTAGCTTGCAACAACAAAGATAAGCCTTCATTTATTATTGCGATTAATCATGCGAATCCTTGTGGAATTTTCGGAAATAAGTGTTTAAGATTACTTCGTAATTTTAATACAGATATTTTGAGTTTATGTTTTTGCCTGTCAAAGTGTGAACTGAATTAATTAATAAGAAAATCTAAATCGTCTGTGAAAAACTGTCTTTTTTGTTTTGTTTGCTTAATTTCTTTTATACGTTCTAGTTTATTATAGTATGAATAGAACATGTGGCAACGATTAGATAATTCTTAAATGATATAAATTTTATGCATTCTGAGTTATAATATGAACGAATATAATATGTTAAGTGAACCCAGCTCCAGAGGGTCGCTATGGTAAACAAATGGGAATTTTAAGGAATGCATTTATTCTGTGGTTTATGCACTGTCGGCGAATAGGTTTAGTTTCAATCCAATGTTAAACAAAGCAAGAAAAGTGCGTCTAATTTATATTCGTACAAGGAAAGTCATGGGTGTACACATCGGATTTTTATTATTATTTTAAAATTTATTATTTTATAAACTATGGGCCATTTTTAAATCTGGTAGTTGGCATAATTGACAGGGTTGTATGGTCCTTAGATTTTTTGGAATCGATTTTGGACTTAAAAGTCCTTAATTTTGCCCAAAATCGGAGAAGGTCCTTAATTTTAATCATGTGAAATTCTGTCGTTTTAGACTGCCTTTGAGTGTGAATTAGCATTTTGGAGGAATATTTTGGCGATTCACTGACATATACGGTTATCTTTGAATGGGTTCATGGTTTATAATTGTTTATTTTCTAATACAAAGGATGGGATACTGAATTTCTAAGCAAGAAGTGAAACATAAGCATTTGAAATTCATTTTTTCTAATAAAGAGCTTTTAAACAACTTCTTGCTTTGGGGATGTGAATTATTTTATTAAACGGTTCTAAATTTGGCGATTTTAAGATTAGTTTCTATAGGAAATTTTAAATTCTAAGATCCGAGAATTTTTCGACGATTTTTTTTAAAATATCGTAACATTGGTAAATTTCATTAAAATAATGGTAATATATTGAAATTATATTTAAAAAATAAGATTAAAATGAAACATTATTATTTTTTGTTGTCATATTATAAAGTTTTATTTTGGCAACTTATTATACGATATTTTGAATCTGAAAAATAAACAAGGTATAATACTATAAAGCACAATTTATGAAACAACTCTTAGCAAAAGCAAAATTAGCTATGTAATTAATTAAAAATGTCTTCTTTTTAATTTTTTCATAGTAAGAGTTTTTTCCATGTAATTGTCTCTGAGTATTTATAATTCTTAGAATATGCATCAATTTTTCTGTATAAAATTAATTTTACCTTTTTTCCCTCCCTTTTTTTCCCAAACTATTTCTGGTCTTTTGCTGTTACAAAATTGGTAGGGATAATTTTTTTTAGGATTTTAGACATTGCAGCTTGGAAAGTTTAGAAGGATTTGAAGGCAAGATTTATAGAGCCACGATTCTAGAAGTTTCAAGAAATATGTGACAAAATGAAAAATGTCTCCATGGTATCAACACGTAATTGATGTATTTTACAGAAAGTTTGCAATGAATTTTTTACTTTTTGGAGAACATTTGGAAGAGCAATGAAAACACAATATTTGAATGTTTTACTCCTGATACTAGAATCTTTTTCTTAACGTGTTTATCTTCCCTTTATTTTCTCTACTTTTCACTTGACACAAGCATGAAAAATATCAAAAATGCTTCTAATCTTATCACATGGGCAGACATTATAGATAGGAATGATTTTATTAATAAACAAATTGAAAACTTACAATTTAAAAGATTAATCTAATATGTCTTATGCATCATACACAGAGCTAGTACATTTTCCCACCTGATGCAATCACTGTGGATTCTAAGTTCTGCTGCCTAATGCCCTTCTAAGTTCTGCTTCCAAAGTCTGCTCTGAATTCTAAAAGTTTTGCCATTTCTAGATTTTGTTGTTGTTCGGTGTGTCACTAAATTCTAAAAATTATGGCACATCAGCTCTGTAACCGGCCTTTACCATATATATTTCATATTTCTTTTGAATGTTCATATTACTAAAGAAATAAAATTAGCCGCCTTTTGTATAAATTCTAAATACATTTAGTGTTTTTTAGAATAGCAGTTTTTAGTTTAGTTTAATAGTTTTTTAGAATATTAAATCCAAAAATTCTAAAATGAAAAGGAAACTTGTTGAAGAAAAAAAACTGAATACATAAAGAAAATCATTCTTCAAAGATATGTGCAGTTATTATTATGTAAATTACCCAATAGTTTATGATTTGAGCCTTTACTATAATTTCCCACATCTGTTTCCTCATATGATAGAGTTACTGAGCCAAATTAAATTGTATAATCTTTGACCACTAGTCCACATTTTTAGTTTGAATTAGACTGTTCTTGTTTAATTACGTCACCGTGAGCTGTAATTGATTTTGTTAGCATCAGAACATGCCTTTATGTTCTAAGTTTTTTTTAAAAAATAAGAGGTTTATTTAAACCTTTTTCTATATTATTGTGGTTAATTTCAGACATAGCGATAATATGCTTCACGCCTGTCGGGAGTTTTGGACTATTTAACTTTTACCAGATCAATTAAACCCTCATAGGTACATTGTGGAGAGGTTGACAAGTTAGGAGATAAAGCGCAGAAACTAGCGACAGCATTGATTTGCATATTGTTAGAAAAGATGCTTAAAGAGAAGGAAATCGATATAAACTAGCCAAAATGTTTGGGAAGGCTTCAAATTTAAATGACGGATAAATATTTTGTTGCCTGTTGTTGTTTCAAAACATGAATGTTCTGTAGCTTTTAATACGTAATTATGTAATATCGTTTAAGAAACTTTAAACTTATACTTTAATTACATATACCTTTAAACTGTGAAATTTTATTAGATTTTGATTTAAATAGGGCTTTTTAAACAAATATTGTTAAAAAATAAAATTTAATAGTGGTCATGTAAATCCATAATGATTATCAAACTGCCTAATTTAATTATTTATAACTAACTGCTTACCCTTAAAAATTACCTCTACATATTAAAGCGAGTTATTGCCTTTCATTAATACTCACTGTGGTCACAAGATAAATTAAAAAAGTGTAAAAATTCGAGTAAAACATATTCTATGCATCTACTTAAAATAATACAAAACAACTTATCACCTCTGGTGTTTTAATGGCTTATTGGAACCTTAAAGTATATTAACTGGGTTACAACCCCTGGAACTGTACACGAAGCTATGACACTAACTGCTTGAAACAGAACTTGACTAACTTTCAACACTTGCCAACCTTGCCTACATCAGGCCTTTCAGGTTCGTTCTAATCAGCTGGTCTCTCTCTAATTTTTTTCATTATTGGTCCTTAAAAGTACTTAATTTCTGTGTGCAGAAATGTGTAAGAACCCTGTTTGAGTCGTAGAATTGAAACATGGGAAAAAAATTGGCATGCCATTTCAAAAAAAGGTCTGATTTTTTTGTCAAAGTACGTATATTAGAACAATGCTATATTGAACTTTATTTATTTATTTTTTTTTTGCACAGTGTGCATTGTACACCTCACAGTTTTCCCAGAAAAAAAGTAGTGCTCATATAATTTGCTGTATGAAGCAGCACAGAAGATGGTAATCTCTTTTAATCTTTCTTATAACACTGGGATTCCCCATGTCCTATATGCAGATGTTATGGTGATTCACTTGAATGTTTAGAAGGAATATTGCCATTGAACATGAGTTGGGGTAAATTCGTCATCTTCTATTGCTTCCTTGAAAAGTTAACAAAATTTGCATTTGACAGTATGCTCGCTTAGCCATAAATGTTGCTGCAGCTTTATGTAATATGGTTTCAGAGGTAATTGCTTGTGCAAAATCTTCCACATAGTTGGCTGGGGAATGACCAGTTTATGACATGTAGATGTCTTTAGGCTGCAAAGGAATATATCTCTGATGCTCTCCACTGTTTTAACGAAGCTTTTCCTTTAGAGAGGTAACTTGTGTCCTTGAACTGTCAATACCACTGCAAAATGCTTTGATATGTTGGTGGCTGTATGTTGTACTGTCTTTGGAGCGTATTTACTTGGTAGTAACAGATTCAGTCATCTCATAGTGCAACACACAAAATGCTTTCTGTAGATTATTCACCATTTTGCAATCTGTTATCATCCTGCCACTTGGTAAATTGCAATGAAATCTGCATTGACAAAACTTTAACATATACCCTTATCATTGGTTATTAGTACAAACAGATGGGCATTATATATTTGAAGTTACGAGATGTCAAAAACCCGATGAATCATCTTTAATCACCCTGTATTTCTGTGGCTTCTTAGGAGTTGAACCAACAGCTTAGCATAATAAATGCTTTTTAATATGTTATTATATGGCTTATAATCAATAAACTGTTGACCCTATTCTTCTTTCCCTAAGGTGTCCAAAATCTTCCAAGCAGCTATTTCCACACCATGCTTTCTTGTTTCATTTCTTGTTGTCCTATGTTTCATCTTCTGTCACTAACTGTGAGTGAAAACTTGTGTTAGCATTTATCTAGAGAATAGTTATTGAGAACATTTGACTCACTCTTTCTTCATTTATAGATTTATTTATTTATTGGTGCATTCTGATTATCTGTACCCCCACTGAAGAGTTGCAAACTCATTGGCAAATTTGAAGAGCAGTTGTGAACATTCATTGATGAATAATTTTTTTTGTTAAGCTAAAGCATGAAAGGCAACAGCTGTTTTCAAAATGGTGAAAAACTAAGAATTTCATGCGAGAGCAATCTAACAATAAAATGAAAAATAATTTTTAAAAAACCCAAAAAAACATCAATAATAAAATGCTTATCTTTTTCAAAAAATCCTCTTTTTAATTTGGGCTCGTTTGTTCTCAGCAAGTACATAACAGTCTCTTTTCGCTTTAAAAAAAGTCAGACAATTGAACAAAATTGACATCTGCACAACTTCAGTATTTCACATTAACTGAAGCAGACATATGCTGTATGCATATCTGGGATGCCACATAAATATCTTTTGCTGACATCATGGATTGCCCCATAACTATTTTAGTGACATTTTGCTTTATATCATGAAAACTTTTTTTCTGACATTTTGAATGGTTGTAGCTATTCAGAAAATTTATATGTATTTCTAGCTTCATTTTGTCCTGGGTACCATCAATGTAAACCTTTATTAAGCCCAGCTTTTTGCACAGAATTTGTTTTCTATTTATACAGCAATATGCCCATTTTCATAGCAATCAGAGAATTTGCTCTGTTTTCCATCACATGTTTCTTAATGTTAGTCTACATTTCTTCAGTGGTCATGAGTTTAAAATTATATTTAAGAAGGGTTTCCCTTTTTTAAACATAGTAACTGACATGGTTCCCTTTTTTAAACATGGTGTTATAAATTTTGTGTCAAGAATTAAGCCACAGAATGATATTCGATCCTTTCACTATTAACAGACATCACTGACTGATAAATATTTAACATTCTTTTGAAAATCAAACAATAGTACTTATTGCATTTGTTTTCTTTTTTATATTTCTGAAAGCTATTAGTGTCATTTTATAATGTTTTACTATCCCATAAATATGTCATATTTGAGTTAAAAATGAACTGAATGTCCCTTATAAATGGCAGTACTTAAAAGTTCTCTTAATCAGATTTATGCCTTTGACACAATAATTTGTATATAAATATCTTGTACATGTATTACAATCGTTGAATTCCATGTCTGTATTTATTACTTTGTTTCTTAATATTTTAAAGAATTTTATTAGTCCAAAGAGTGTTAGCCCAAAAGGGCTATTAATTTCGTTTTGACATTTTGCTTCGAAAACTTTAAATGTCCATTTCACTTTTCATATTGTTACTACAAAATATTATCACCCTGTGTTATATGTAAAGAAATTAAATGCTGAAGAATCTGTATAAATGTATTCTCGCATTGTGATAAAACAACGGTACCTAGAGCCATCAAATTTTGAATAACATAATCCTCCCCTGAATACGGGCATCTGGAAGCCCTAATTTGATTATTGATTCATATTTTGTAACACTTTGACGAATTTTTGCTTAACAAACTTAATGATTTCGAAGCGAGCAGTGGCAACACTGTGTGCACAAACACACACACACACACACACGCACACACACAAAAAAAAATTGTATCTCCTGCGCACAAGACTGTGTATCAAAAATTCTAAAGATATGTTCATTTTAAAATTATTTTGCGATATTGCTGTTGAATTGAATTTTATCGTTTAAATGCAAAAAATGCGATATTTAATAAACAAAGGTGCACACAAAACGTTAAAAAATGCCCCTTTGTGCATAATGTAAAATCTGAAGGCTTTCAGATTTTTTTCTAAATTATTAGTTTTTGAAATACTGAGACAGTTTATATTTTTAGTGACTCTAGAATTATATTTAAGTATATGTGCATTTTTTTAGCAGAATGAATAAAGAATTAACATATTATAAGCTTGCTGAGTAATGACTGTTTTTACTTGTATTATAATATTAATCAGCAACTTTATGCAGGTAGTGGTTTTACTGAAGAATAATAGTATCTGTCAATACAAACTTGATTTGAAAGTGAAAGATCATTCTGCAATGCTGTGCCATAATATTATGCTTCCTGGCCATCGCAGTTTTGTAAGAAGTTTGAATTATAGTGCAGATAATTCAATGATTTTATCGGCTAGTGAAGAAGCTGTGAAAATCTGGAAAAGGTAGAGTATTATTTTGTAGTTTAATGCATGTATGTATATTTATGCTTGTAATTTATGCATGATGTATTATAGTTTAATTTATAAATACTTCTTTATAAAATAATTTAAACGTTTTTAGAGAATGTTTCATTTTATTACTAAATCGAGTAAATTCATTGAAAATATTGTAGAAGTGCATTAAACTGAGGCATACTTTTCTTGTGTCATTTTTAACATGGCAAGTCTCTCAAGGGCTCATCTTTTGTGAGTACAGGTATGGCAATCCCAAGGTACCCTAGCCCTTCAAAGGATCACTTTCTTGGTGAGACCGGAGGGTCACGATTCTGGAGCCCTTAGTGATCTTTCCTTTTCATCTCTCCTTCTCTCTACTATTTTCATTTCTTCCGCCTTTGTGGTTTTCCTTTTCAGAGGTTTAGGCTCAAAATGAGATTATGTCACATCCCTTTGTTTCAAGTTTCTTACGGAGAGAAAAACATCTGCACCTTTGCTGTGCATAATGACCCATAAGGCTGGAAAGAAGGGTCCTGATAGTTGAGGGGCAATGTACTGTGTCCCCAACACACTGCTTTGGCCTCTGCTAAGCAGACTAAAACAGAAGCTAAAACTGCTTCAGACTAAAACAGAAGGAACTTAGTTGTCTTCACTAGTGTCAGTCGGCTGGTCATTTGTCCTTAAGCTTTCAGGAGAGCTGGACTGTGGGGGCTTCATATTGCGTATAGACCCGGTTAACCCTAGCACAGGTTTCTGTGTCCCCTTGTTGGACTCTTTAGTGGCTGGGGCTCTTTAAGCTTTCGGGAGAGCTGGACTGTGTGTGTGGGGGGGGTTCATATTGCGTATAGACCCAGTTAACCCTGGCACAGGTTTCTGTGTCTCCTTGTTGAACTCTGTGGTGGCTGGGGCTGCTGGATCTGAATCATTTCTGTTTGCAATATGGAAACCTCAGCCCAGCTCATACAAATGAAAATATTGCAATTTCAAAAAACAAAAAAAGTTATAAACGAGTGTAAATGCAGATTTTCAAGAAGTGTATGAAATTATTGCCTTGTTTTGTAGTTCTGACAAACACAACTGGTAAAATTCCAAAAATGTCACCCTTTTTGATACAAAAACTTATACAGTCCTGTGCCAATGAGCCCAAAAACATCAAGCGGCTTTGCTCGGGTGATCTTCTAATTGAAACTATATCTGCTAGCCAATCTGCTACCCTTCTTGCTCTAAAGAAACTAGGACCTATCAATGTAAATGTCTCATCTCGCAAACTCCGAACTTTAGTCCCAGAGTAATCTCAGAATTTGATCTGCTGGATGTCTCGGAGGAGGGATTTGCAACTAAGCTCTCCGACCAAAATGCCTGAGCTGCTAGGCGAATCAAGATACATAAAGAGGGTCAGTTGATAAATACCAAGCACATTATCCTGACCTTCAGCATGCCCAATTTGTCGAAAAGCATAAAGGCTTGGTATCTTCATTACTGTATAAGACCATACATTCCAAACCCCATGCGATGTTTCCAGTGCCAGCGTTTTGGCCACTCAAAAGCGTCCTGTCAAGCAAAGTGCATGTGTGCACGCTGCTATATAGAGGGCCATGACAGTGATAATTGCAATGCTGTGTCACTGTGTGTCAATCACAAGGGAGAGCATGCAACATTTTCTCATTTGTGTTCTAAATGGAAAGCTGAAAAGGAAGTACAAGCCTTAAAAGTTACCACAAACATCATATATGCAGAAGCTAGGACAATTATAGATAATGCATAACCCTGTTTCAATATTTTGTATATGCTGATGCCTTAAAACAATTGGAATACAAACCAATTTAAACATGTAGTGTGAAAAGGGAAGTAATCAATCAGAAAATACCACAAAAATGAAAATAACAGAAATTAATGCAATAAGGAACAAGTTAGCGGAAACCAACAAAACTCAAGAAAATAATTCCACTAAACCAAATAAATGTAATGTATTCAATGAATCTAAAAGTCTTACTCTTAAACCTAGGAGTCACAGTCATCAAAGCTCTTGAAAATATGAGCTCTGATGATATGGAATAAGATAAGCGACGGAGGACGTGGGCACTGTTCCTTTGTATTAGGTTAATCAGTATAGCACCACGTCCACCCTTATCTAGAGTTGGCCAGTTGGTGTGGCCACACGAGAGCCTCGCACAAGACTCCCAGATCCATTGTCTAGAGCATCTGGTGGGTAGTCGAACAGACCAATATGCCCCCGGGAATTCACCCTCATCCAATCTCCTGGGCCCAGCCTTTATTGGAACAATATCAATCAATATATGGCCATACAAGGACTTTATCAACATGGTATGACAGACAGTTGTTATTGTTACATAGGACTTACATGATGATGAACTACTAGACATTCTTGGTTATTACCTAAATTAACATGCATAGATATAAACATTACAATATATACAAATTGTATATTGTACATTATGCCATACTTTGCACTATACTGTACCTTATATTACGTCACACATTATATATGATACCTTACTTTTGTACATTTCACTAAATTACAATGTGTGTTTTACCATACATTACATTTTACCATACTTTTCATTACTTTATACATTTGCCTTACATATTTAAACATAAAAACATACATTGAGAACATATTATACATGTTATTAATAATAATGCCCTATATAAATTGTATAAACCTGACATTGCATTACACTGCATCTTACATTACTTTAGCACATTATACATTAGGCTTTACGCTTGCACATTTTACTAATTTGCATAGTATTTATATTATTTGACACAGATTACATTATGCAATAGTTTGCACTAAACCGTACTTTATATTATGCCACACATTATACACGATGCCTCACTTTTGTGCATTTCACCAGATTACAATGTACGTTTTACCATACACTACATTTTACCATACTTTTTTGTTTCTGTGCAGAAGGTTCGCCAGGAATTTAATTTAGCTTGTAGAATAGATCTTTTGTAACGCGCTCTTTCTCTTTGGTAAATGGGTAAAGTGACGGCGGGTATGTTGAGTGTGCGCTCTTGTTTCAGTTTTCGGCGCAGGGCTCTACACTTCTTTTGTTGCGTGCGGAGGTCGCTGTTCCACCAGTTGAGAGTGTGAAGCTTTTTGGCACTCCTCTGCGGAAGCTTGTCGTTGCAGGCTTGTTGAATGCATTTTTGGATTTTTGCTGTGAAGTTTTCTAGATCTTCCTTGGTGTTTGCTTGCGGCAGCTGTTGTTCTATATTGCCCAGCAGTGTCCTGACTTTGTTGGTGAATGCTCTTTCTGTCTGCCGGGTAAGTTATATCGCTTGATTACATTGACTGTCGTTGGTTGGGCAATTTTGAAAGTAATGTAGCGATGATCGCTTGAGACTTACTTCGTCACATCCACTTTCCAGTCTTGGATTAGGTGTGCCGCTGTGGCCGAGCTGATGGTCAAGTTTGGCCAGCCTTGTGCATGAATGCGGTCAAATGTGGGCGGCGCGTCGCATGTGTTGTGCAAAGTGAGGTTGTAGGATGAAAGGAAATCTTCCAGGAAGCGACCTTTTATATCTGTTGTTGCCTAGCCCGAGACCGTATTGTGGGCGTTATTATCTCCCACTATTATCTTGTTGGGGATTTTGATTTTACAAAGATATTAGATAGGACGTGTGTGGTGGTAAGTAAGCCCTCTGTTGGAGGCGGGTATTGCGACACAAACCGCAGTGAGGTATCTTGTAATTCCAGACTATTGCAATGTTATCTCGTTCAAGTGAGATGACAGCTGGTGACCAGTCTTTGTTGCAGTTAATTAAGATTGCCCTAGGAGGGTTACTGATATCGGCTTTCTGGAAGATTGTCCATTGTTGGGGGAAACCCACTGCACTTCCGTCTCCTTGTGCCATTATTATTGATGCTAAAACAAAGTTTAAAGTTTAAAGAAATTAAACATTTAGCAGTAGTAGCAATAAAAGCTCCCTGAGATATGTTGTGCAGACATTGAAGACAATAAAAGATTTTGAACTTAACCAATTTATTAACAATATAATAAAGAATAAAAACACAGAAAATAAATTTCAACAATATCAGAGTCTTAGGAAAAATATAATATAACCATCATTCATCAAATAATATTTTTACCTGGTCTCCAAAACACTGGCATTCAATACAAACAAAAATGTCCTAAACAGTAATTATGCGGCCTAAAAATGAAGCTGGCTACACATTCAATAAGTCCATAATCAATGGTCAAGAAAAACACCTGAAATTTAAATCAAGTTCTTGAAAACACTTAAAACCGGCCTAACTCCGTTTGCACGAGGAATCGCCGCTCACGTATTTTAAATGCCGCCTTTATTGAAGAACATGGATGCCGCCCACAGCAGTCACTCATATGGTAGCCTCTGGAACCAAGGAACTTTATTCTGGAACACCATCTTATGGATATGAACCAAGGAACTCATTCCGGAACAATCATCCCGCGGACAGGCACCAAGGAACTTTATTCAGGAACAGCCATCCCGCAAACCGGAACCAAGGCACTTTAATCACCGGACTGCATGCATCCTTCTGAAGGGGCTGGAAACCGCTCACTCAAGTGCCAGGAAAGCAGGAACTAGAAGGGTTGAGCCAGAGCGACGCGAGATACTTATAGCAGAAGTAGGAATGACGTCATCTCACGGCAACCAATCAGCTATCGGCACGAATCGGCTTTTCAGATGACGTAACATCACGTTTCGTTTTTGCATCTCAATTAGGTTGAAACAGTCCGTTCTCAACGCAAACAGTGGCAGCAAGAAAAAGAAGTAGAAGTAACTACTATATTACATTAAAATAAGAACTAAACTAAATAAACATTTCAAGGAGGAGAGATGATGCAGTAAAAAAAAGGTTTAAAATAAGCTATATTTTCCAACAAATGCCCCCCACATCATCATCTCCGACCTAAAATAAAAACTGAATGCCAGTATCTTTACAAAATTCAAAACAAGAATAAATAAATATCACAATTTCATTCAGAAATTTT